GTTAGCAATTACTAAGAAGCGTAGAAAGAGGAAGCAAAAATTTTACCCTCCTCCACCCCCTTCACCACAACAAAATTTTAAGGGTCTCAGTGTAACCCACATATTTCAGTGATTGTTAGAAAGATAGGCAGTATTTACTTTTTTATACATGCAATACTTTCTGTAACACTTGTAATGTTAATGATTATGTAAGGGGGTGTTTTTCTTATGAACCCTTCGCATTTATTACTGTTATAGTAGAATTCGATTTATTATTAATTCTACATGTGTATTTTCTATATTGTATTAATTTGCATAATATTAATGTATGTCCTATTCTTTGCACATGTTTCAGTGCGTTTTTCTTACGAAACCCTCACATTTCTTACTATTATAGTAGAACTCGATTAATTATTATTCCTACATGTGTATTTTCTATATTGTATTAATTTGCATAATATTGATGTATGTACTATTCTTTGCACATGTTTAAGTATTGTTGGTTAAAATCTTACGAAACCCTCACATTTCTTACTATTATAGTAGAACTCGATTAATTATTATTCCTACATGTGTATTTTCTATATTGTATTAATTTGCATAATATTGATGTATGTACTATTCTTTGCACATGTTTAAGTATTGTTGGTTAAAACAATAAACAGAGGCCATACCTTATAGTATGGTATGGCCATTAAACACAATTTGATAGTTTGTTATTCCTCGCGTGGCGGTTCATAAATATGGATTTCAAAAGCCTAAATCACGAGGTTGTTTTAATGCCCATATGGTAGTGACCGAAAATAGTTGTTATTCAGTAGACATGAATATCAAAATTTTCCATAATATTGAGAAGATCTTAGCGATAAATCAGCACAAGCTTTTAAATTGACGAAATGTTAACCTAAACCACACTTTAATTTAAATATTGTATAAACTATCATATTCTTATTTTCGTATTCAAAAATATTTTCAAAATCAATATATGTTTGTGTGATCTTTGACCACATGCTATGAACCATTAGTCTTTCTATCATCCTTTTTCCAGTTTTTTTTTCTTCAAACTTTGTCCCACCCCCACCCAGAAGTGCCATAAAATCGACTACGTCATATGATTACAGATAGTTCAGCTTGTGCCTCCTTCATTGCTGACAAGCTTCATATTGGCATTATTTTGTTATTGAATTCTCAAAAATAACTTATGGAAAGTTTCAAATCAGAAAAGAAACAGTCGCTTACACAATTTAATCAGTATGACAATGAATTTGAACCACGTGAATTCATCATACATTTTGCAGTAAACTGGAAAGCAAAATCGAAGTTGACAGACAAGAACATCACAGCTCCGTTTCAGACAAGCATACGTCTGACACACTAAGAAGTCCACTCAAAAGCTTATTTATGATAACCAATGACAGCGAGAATGGAGAGAAAGTCACCAAGTTGATGACGAAGAAGTCGCCTGTACCAAATAGCGACATAAAGGGAGACGCTAATTCAAGTCAGAAAGCAAGTTCTGATGCAAGCAGGTCAAAGAAAGTGCAAGCAAATGACATGGTGATAGGAAAACACTATTTTAACATAGGTAAAATACAACATCTGTACATGTAATTTGTTATTTTTTTTTTCTAGTTCATGCTTTGTTTAAGTTTCAATTGAGTCTTTAAAATGAAATAATTGTTACATAAAGTTCTTTGCATGTATTAAATGTAGTTCAATTTGATGAATTTCTTTTAAACTCCATTTAATGAACTCTTTGCATTAGTAGAGATTTAGACCTTGTCGTAAAACATATTCTATTCATTTATTTAAAAACCGTATCAGTTTAGAAAATAATACATTTCTAATTTACCAATCGGCAAGGTTACTTTGCCTTGCCAGTGTGGCTAGGTCACGTCGGTGTCTGCATTCTGTGAACGTCGCCATGCCTGCCTCTTTGATCTTCATCATCTCATTTTTTAAGATTATTTTTTATTAGTATTTCTTGACTTAAAGTGATTTAAGTATAACATGAACAAAGCCACTAATTAAATACAAATGTACACAGAAATGACAATATAATTATAATTAAACACCTTCGACATCGTCGGAGATTTACGACATTTGATTAGGCACATATACTTATGATAGAATGTCAATATTTTATCTTATTAGGTATGAGAGAGGACGTCATGTTGCAGGATTGCTATCACTCACACATGAAGCATTCTTTCCCCGACATTGATTATGCTTTCTTTGGTTACGATTTATTTCGGGGATATCCACTAGCCCATGGTCATGATCCTGGTTTTACGTTTCCTATCTTTCATGCTGACTATACGAACGGGAAACAGACTGCAGATTGCAGGTACAGCGTTCCCAAAGGTCTTGTTATTGTGCCAGACGTATCTTGTGTTACGTCCTTCACCTCTGAGATTATAGAGAACAACAAGCAATTAAATCAGGAGTTGTCTGTACATGCTGATGCCGGTGGCAGCGGATTAGGAGTCGAATTCTTGGCAAGTGTTGGATATCGACAGGCATCTTTTGATTTGTCGACTCATAAATCAGTTTACATAATATCCTCAGCACGTTGCAATTACTATTTCAGCAAGTTTCAGACAGAAAATGCCCCGCCCTTTACAGATATCTTCGTTCATTGGATAGAAAAACTGAACACTACATCAAGTAATTCAACATATCTCGACTTCTTTCATACCTTTGGCACACACTTTCCTAAAGAAATAATATTTGGTGCAAGGTATATTTACGAACACAAAATGAAAAGTTCGCTCTTTGAAAAGAAACGAAACAGTGGTGTAAATGTTAAAGTACAAGCAAGTACCAGTGGGCTAATCCGTGTTAGCGGTGGTTTTGGTCTTTCAAAAGAACAGAGAGAAGAAGCTTCTGAGTTCTCAAATTCTGTTGAAACAATCACAATTACAGTAGGAGCAGCTCCGCCAAGTAATGGGGATGCAATGACATGGGCTGCTTCTGTCCAAAGCAACCCAGTACCGTCAAAATATAAACTGGAGCCAATTGAAAATCTGTTTAGTGAAGAATACATGGGAACGCTTGGTGTTGACTACGAGGCAATATCAGTCAACCTAAAGGCATTGAAGGAAACATATTACGAAAGTCTTGCGTCTGAATATCTATATAACAAAATAAACGATATGTCCAGTAAGTCTAGAATATATATATGAATATAAATGAATGAAATAATGTATTTTTCTACCCTACTCAGCGTGTCGAAAAAATCAAACAAATTCACAATAAGCACACACCTGCATTTTCAACATCAACAGTATCAGTTTGTTCCATCAAAATAAAGATGTAAACATCCATTAAACAAGTTATTCATAAATTGGTTTATTGGTATAACAAGGTAGTACAGTGTACTAACAAAATGGTAATCTACAACTTTTGAGATATAATCTAAGATAATTCAAACAATGTTCCCAGTGAAATATTCATTTCATACGTACGTTGTACATTATTGTACGTTGTGTTTGCATGTCACTATTCGAGTTATTTAAAAATCTCATCTCTTACTTATAGATATTTATCTGTGTTTTATCTTTTAGCTATTTATCATAACAGAACATTCTACTTGCAGGCGGACGTCTTACTAAAATACTAACTGTTGAAAATGGTGGACAGTATGGCTCTTGGCTAACACCCCAGTTTTGTCCATTTGGAACGTTTGCAATGGGGTTTAACATGATGGTAAGCTTTAACAGAGTTTAATTGGTTGTCTTATCTGTGTGAACAAGAATGCTAAAACCAAATGTTACTTTAAAGGGTATAAAGCTATATCTCATGAATTATATTTATAAAATTTATTAACGACACGCGTATGTGCTTATTGTGTTTGTCCTTTTTGACACACTGACCAGAGAAGAAATATACATCACATTGTACTTCATTTATTTATTTAGTGGCAGCATGGCCGAGCGGTTTACGCTTCGGAAAAGTAATCTTTAAATATCGCTAGCCGCATGGGTTCAAATCCTGACAGGGGCAAGTTGTTGTTTCCTTGAGCAAGAAACTTTACACTAATTGCTCAGTACTGGTTGGTTCTAGGAACGGATTCGAAAGTGTGCCCTTCATACACAATTAAACTAAAATAAATTCTGTATAAACCAGATTTATTTAAAGTTGAACTGTATGTTTCCATAATCTTATGGTAAATACTCTAAAGTAACATATAATGTCTCTGATATTTAACACTGGTGAAAAGTGTACGTAAACAGAATAACATTTTCTGGACCAAATTTAAATCCTGCTCTTTTAAATATGGTTTTAACCGTTTAGCAATGATCTTGTGCATGTGTCATTCGCTTTTAAGGCAATGCACCACCACATTTCTTTCATTCACGCGTTGTTTTAGCTATTAATTTACGGTATATCCAAAACTGTTTGTTGCACTGCCCATATGGATATTTCTTTCATTAACAAGATATAAAAAATTATGTGGTTAAGGGGTGTGGACGCTAGCTTGGAATTACCACTACCGTCCATGAACAGGCTTTATTAAAAACCGAGCATGCAGCATTATCAATTTGCCGATTATGTTTTTCTCTATTTTAGAATTGTTGCTTATCTCAAACACGTATATACCATAATTATATTTACCAGTATGCCTTCATTAGCATTATTTACACATGATATTTATCTATTTACCATGTTCAAGTATGACGACAATGATGCAAAGGAAGCAGATAGAACTGGATTGAATGTCATTAACATTTCATGTGCAAACAGGAAAGGTACACGAGTAAAGAATCAAAGATCTGTTCAGTCTCCCTTGGGTGGTCGTGGTCACTGGACTGGAGATGTGATATGTCCACGAAGTAATGGTATTCCCCTGTTCTTGCAAAGTTTCGAGTTAATGGTCCATGAGCCAGTAAGTGCATTGCCCTCTTTTTTGCAAGTACTAGACACATGATATTTTGGGACACATGCATTTGCAGTTTTTCATGGTTTACTCGTCAAGCTATGTTTATTCTTTGAGAGCATAATACATATATTTTAAAATCCGTACTACTTAGAAGTCGAAACAGACTAACAAAGCTAAGACTGCAGTTATCATCGTTTTAATTTTGTTATCATTGCCGTCAGCGTCCCCCCTTATTATACTTACTTAAGCAATCTCACAAGAACAATGATTAAAACTGCAAAAACGCAAAACTGGATTTTGACTACTGTTAACCAATAGATATAGATTAAATTATTATCATTTTCAATTTCAGAAACAGTCAGAAGACGACACTAAGGCAAATGTTGTTCGTTTTACGTGTCGTGATTCACACTGGAAGCAGCAGCCGAAAAGCATCGAAAAACATATTGCTGGTGCAAAAGGTCAGTTCGGGAAATCGAGTGAAAAGTGTCCAAAGGATTCCGCAATCTGTGGGCTACAATCTCGTGTGGAGGGTCATATACATCATGGAGACAACACCGCTTTGAATGATGTCCGCTTTTTCTGTTGCAGATTTAAGTAATGGTCGTCTGCCAAAAATTATACCGATAGATTTACTTTATATCACATTCAAAACAATTGTGTACAAAATATAAAACTATTTTTTATAACTATGTTGATTAATTCTCATTTACTGCTATAACCATAGTAGCTGTATATAATAAACATATACATATTATGGTGTTGCATATCATTATATGTAACATCCCATTATGAAACACCAAACTTTGCATTTTTTCCTATGACGTTTATAATGTTATGTTTATACAGGTGCTTCAATTTTCATCAAATTGTACATGTATTACGGCCGTGTATAAAAGATTGTTTGCTCGAGTTATGAAAGCAGCAACTATTTATAGCCAGAAAACGTTATAAATATGTGATATATACCGTATTTTATACATATATTTAATTGAATCATGAATCAATCACATTGTTATAAACACTGCTTTATAGCTACGGTCATTGTTTCAATGTTTTCTTCGTTAATGTGTATATTTTTTATTTGGTTCTATCTAAAGTTTGTAATCTTTACAGGGAATACTTTTTATAACACTTATTGTTTTGTGAAATATAAATACACATTATACGGAACTTTCATGTTATTGCCAATCGTAAATTTAAAAGCAACTCGGTTTAACTTTTTTTTCTGGAAACAGAGCAACAGGAAATTAGTACAGGACTACATTTCTACGAATCAGGCGCAAGTTGAGCAATTTTACCGTGTTAATTCTTGTTTAAAGGTATATGTTTGTCGGTAAAAAATGTGTAAATAAAAGAAATATATGCCATTAACTTGTGTTAGATTTTTGCAGCTAGCATTCAAATCAAATGTTGATGGATGTCCTCATCTTATTTATAATACATTATTCATTAGTATTACATCTATGTGACTTAAGTGTTGCAATAATAACATGAGATATAAAATCGGACAGCGCAAATTGTTTTCTTGAAAGCCCAGTATGCCCCAAATTTTTCTCAAAACATTTTATCATTGGTGTCCTGTTTTGGTTTCCAGAAAGTTACTTATCGGCCAATTTTGTTAATTTTTTGGTTCTGGTGCCTTTAAAAAAATAGTATACAATTGTAGTGAGTTAATATTTTGTATGGAAGTCAAAATACTACTTTGTTAACATTTTACTACTTTTGTGAATAATAATTCCACATTCAGAACTCCTTCCTTCTTGGTTATTGGAACGAGGTATGTCGGCGGGCGGGAGGACGGGCGTTAACAATTTCTTCTGTGAGCTACTGTACTCCTCCTACATTTCTCAAAGGATTTTGATAAAACTTTCACACAGATGCTGTCTAATCAAGTGCTCTGGCGCATACTGTCAGGGTTTTGTGATTTGGTAATATTTGACCTAATTATGGACCTTTGTTTTTTTATATAGCATGTCTAGTGAATGATTTCAACTTCTTCTGTATTTCTTATGGAATTTTGACCAAACTTTCCATCAAGTGCCATTGTGCATATAATAGGGTTTTATGAATCGATATTTTTTATGTAATTATGGCCCTTTGAATCTTATTAATCCTACAGTATTTGAAAGCTTTTGAACCCTGTAGGGTCATTGTCATTGGTTTAATGCACAAAATTATACTGTACATTACCTGTACTCTTATTCCAATGACAACAAAACAGTGGTGATAATTAACAAGAGCTGTCGGTAGGACAGCACGCTCGACTATTCTTAGTGCTTGATAGTAAAAGAGCCTTGATAATTTTAAATTTTTTAAGTTCACAAAAGGGCTAATTTTTTTTTTATAAATTCATGTTATAGGCCTTAGAGAGAGTCTAATTATACAGTATTGGCTTGACTATTCGGAAGGTAATGTCACAAGGGTGTTTTATTGAGTATAATAATACTAATTACCTATGAATACATAAATTTGACAGAAAAGGTACAAAGGCTTGTTATTAAGATGTTTTATCAAGTAAATCACTGCTTTATTATTATGAATGCATAAAATTGTCCCAAAAAAAGGCACAAACCCTTCAGTAGTTATTGAGATAACAGCTTACAAGCAAAACTTTACCATGAATTTCTAAGTTGAAAAAGGGGAGAAAAATCAGCCTGAATGCAAGATAGAATTATGGATCTTTGTCAGTGACCTACAATTATGACCCTAAATGCATATGTGAAGTTTTAAATAAATATCTTTAATAGTTATTGAGGTATGTAAAACTTGCATGTAAACATTAACCAAGAGACTAAGTAGAAAAGGGGATATGAATCAGCCTTTATGCAAGATAGAGTTATGGACCTTGGTCAGTGACATACAATTATGACCCTCCAATTATGACCCTAAGTGCATGTGTAAAGTTTCAAGTAAATATCTTCGAAGACCTTTAACCTTTAACCAAAATTTCTAAGTTTCAAAGGGGCAAATAATTCTGCAAATATTGCAGGCAGAGTTATGCAATTTTGCAAACTAATGTACATTGTTACTATAACAAGAGCTGTCGGAAGGACAGCACACTCGACTATTCTAAGTGCTTGATAGTAAAAGAGCCTTGATAATGTTAAATTTTTTAAGTTCACAAAAGGGCTAATTTTTTTTTATAAATTCAAGTTATAGGCCTTGGAGAGAGTCTAATTATACAGTATTGGCTTGACTGTTCGGAAGGTAATGTCACAAGGGTGTTTTATTGAGTATAATAATACTAATTACCTATGAATACATAAATTTGACAGAAAAGGTACAAAGACTTGTTATTAAGATGTTTTATCAAGTAAATCACAGCTTTATTATTATTAATGCTTAAATTGTCCCAAAAAAGGCACAAACCCTTCAGTAGTTATTGAGATAACAGCTTACAAGCAAAACTTTACCATGAATTTCTAAGTTGAAAAAGGGGAGCAAAATCAGCCTAAATGCAAGATAGAATTATGGATCTTTGTCAGTGACCTACAATTATGACTCTAAATGCATACGTGAAGTTTTAAATAAATATCTTTAATAGTTATTGAGATATGTAAAACTTGCATGTAAACATTAACCAAGAGACTAAGTAGAAAAGGGGATATGAATCAGCCTTAATGCAAGATAGAGTTATGGAACTTGGTCAGTGACATACAATTATGACCCTCCAATTATGACCCTACGTGCATGTGTAAAGTTTCAAGTAAATATCTTTGAAAACCTTTAACCAAAATTTCTAAGTTTCAAAGGGGCAAATAATTCTGCAAATATTGCAGGCAGAGTTATCCAACTTGTCAATCTGATGTACCTTGTTACTATAAATAAGTATTGTAAGTTTCAATTGAATATCTCAAGCAATAATTGAGATATTTGACTTTACAAAAAAACTTTAACCAAAATTTCTAAGTTCCAAAGGGGCATAATTCTGTCAATATTGTAGGCAGAGTTATCCAACTTGTCAATCTGATGTACCTTGTTACTATAAATAAGTATTGTAAGAATCAATTGAATATCTCAAGCAATAATTGAGATATTTGACTTTACAAAAAACTTTAACCAAAATTTCTAAGTTAAAAAGGGGCATAATTCTGTCAATATTGTAGGCAGAGTTATCCAACTTGTCAATCTGATGTACCTTGTTACTATAAATAACTATTGTAAGTTTCAATTGAATATCACAAGTAATAATTGAGATATTTGACTTTACAAAAAACTTTAACCAACGCAGACGCCGACGCGGACGCCGGGGCGACTACAATAGCTCTCATATTCTTCGAATAGTCGAGCTAAAAAAGTATTTTAAATTTCAATTGAATATCTCAAGCAATAATTGAGATATTTGACTTTAGAAAAAAACTTTAACCAAAATTTCTAAGTTCCAAAGGGGCATAATTCTGTCAATATTGTAGGCAGAGTTATCCAACTTGTCAATCTGATGTACCTTGTTACTATAAATAAGTATTGTAAGTTTCAATTGAATATCTCAAGCAATAATTGAGATATTTGACTTTACAAAAAACTTTAACCAAAATTTCTAAGTTAAAAAGGGGCATAATTCTGTCAATATTGTAGGCAGAGTTATCCAACTTGTCAATCTGATGTACATTGTTACTATAAATAAGTATTGTAAGTTTCAATTGAATATCTCAAGTAATAATTGAGATATTTGACTTTACAAAAAACTTTAACCAAAATTTCTAAGTTAAAAAGGGGCATAATTCTGTCAATATTGTAGGCAGAGTTATCCAACTTGTCAATCTGATGTACCTTGTTACTATAAATAAGTATTGTAAGTTTCAATTGAATATCTCAAGTAATAATTGAGATATTTGACTTTACAAAAAACTTTAACCAACGCAGACGCCGACGCCGACGCCGGGGCGACTACAATAGCTCTCATATTCTTCGAATAGTCGAGCTAAAAACCGGGTTTCGTCGCATTGCCATGTTTCTTGTTCTATGTTTACTATTAAGCAGTTTACAGTGTCATCTGGTCAGTCAGGCTGGACTTGTAGAAAAGCATTATCAATATCATAGATAAAACCCAAATAAAAGGAGAAGAAAAATTAAACAAATCAAAATGTATAATGTAAGCAACAACCATTTTTATTCAAATTCAAAAGGCTGATAATGACATATTTATACAAAAACATTTTAAGTTTTATTTCAAACATAGAACTAAAGAGTTTTAACAGATATTATACAATAATGTCGCATAAAAAAATTATCATACCAAATTGTTTACAACAACTGATATATCTAGCACATACAATGTAAAATGTCATACAGACACCAACATAATTCATCATTAAGTTGTGCACTTTTTCTTTTTTTTTTGACAAATTATTGATCTTTAGACACCAAACATTGGGCAGATGTATTACAAGCTATTCAAGTATGCGAAAGTAATTCAAAATATAGCTAAGCGGTGCAAAAAACAAACGACCGCAATGTGTCTTAAGAGAAAGATAGAAAAGATTACATTGTATTGCCGTAAATGGTCCCGATTATGACATCAAATCTCAAAGAAAAATATCCAGTCTCATTTTTTTCTAGGTAACAAAAAAAGGCAATTGAACATTATGACTTTAGTTCATTTTGATAAAAAATCAATTATAATACAAGCAATTATCATAGTATTGCAAGCAATCCATAAGTCCCCTACCGGTAAGAGCCCAAGCAACATTCTGAAGGGCCATTGGCCATTCACTTAGGTTCCTATTTTAAGTAAATTTGTTGAAAAAGTTCTTTAAAAGTGATCACAGGAAACAGTTTTTATGTACAGACAGATGGACTGAAGGACACTCTAAAGTTATTTTTTTAAACATCTCTGTTATCAAAATATAACATTTTTAAAATCCTATCATGATTGACGAAGTTGGAGTAAAAATTACCAATTTCTCAAAAAAAAGTCTAAGTTCAAAAGGGGCATAATTCTGGAAATAGTCTTGCTAGAGTATTGAACACTCACAAATG